ATGAAGAAGTCACAGGGGGGGATGGGTGGGGAGGGGGGGTTAGGGAGGGGGAGGGAGAGGGGGGGGAAAAGGGAAAAATTTGTATTTGAAAACTTTTTCAATAAAAAAAAAAAAGTATGAAGGCTATTGCTTAACACATTGTAAGCCACCCTGAGTCTCCAGAGAAGGGTGGCATATAAATCAAATTTTTTTTAAAAAATGGTTGTTGCACTCACAGCGGTTCTTACAGGCGAGGCAGCAGATTGGGTGGCTGACCTACACAGTGCCCATGCCCGTGAGTTAACGAATCTTGGCTTATTCCTGGAAACATTACATGGTAGATTCGAGGATGAAACCTGAACTCAAATAACCGAAGGGTAATTAGTAGTCCTAAAGCAACGGGGAAGGCCAGCTAAGGAATATGTAAAGGAATTCCAGAAATTGGCTGGGAAGCTGAGGTCATAGCTGGAAAGACTCTTTTGTAAAGAATTTTTTATTTTTTTTTCCAACATAAACATAAAAAATAATTTTTTTTCAAGAACGAAGTCTGGGTCCGGTCACAAATGGGTACACTAATTTAACAAATGAAAAACAAATAATTTTAACATAAATTCCAATATCTTAATAATTTTTTCTATTATCTCATCATACATCCTAATTAAGGCAAAACTCCTTTTTATATTCAATTATAAATTCAATTATAAATCAAAATTCAATACCGCTTTATCTAAATTTTTTATCCTTTGCTCTTTTTAGCATCAACATTAAACACAAAGACAATCAATTCTATTAATCTATATATTTACCTTACAATTTTATCACCACAAATCTTAATTTCCAAGTGTATTCAACTCAATTCTTATTTCAATTTTAATCAAAGTTTCTTTCTATTTTTCTCGTTTTCTAAACCCAATCTATCCTATCATGTTCTTAAACTTTTACACAGAAATCTCAAAATTTACCATTTCATTTTAATTATCACCCAATGTTTTCTTTTTCACCCCTTATTAATAATTATTCTTATTTATTTTATTGTATTTATTATTTATTTTATTTTTCAGATTTCTATACCGCCCTTCTCCTTTCGGACTCAGGGCGGTGAACAGCCAAAATAAAACATTTGTACACAAAAGTTAAAATAGATTTAAAATAATTAAATAAAGTTTGGCCCATAATTTAAAACATTTCAATTAAAATCAATATCAAATTTTAAAAACCAACCATAAAATCAATGCAGCCCAGATAACTGAAAAAAATAGGTTTTAAGGGCCCGATGAAAAGTCCAGAGGTCTGGGATCACTTCTATCTCTGGGAGTAGATTGTTCCAGAGGGTAGGTGCCACCACAGAGAAGGCTCTCCCCCTGGGGGTTGCCAGCCGACATTGTCTGGCCGATGGCACCCTGAGGAGGCCCTCTCTGTGGGAGCGAACTGGCTGGTGGGAGGCAATTGGTGGCAGAAGGCGGTCCCGTAAGTACCCCGGCCCTAAACCATGGAGCGCTTTAAAGGTGATCACCAACACCTTGAAGCGCACCCGGAAGTCCACCGGAAGCCAATGCAGCTCGTTCAGGAGAGGAGTCACATGGGAGCGCACTGTTGCTCCCATAATCCCCCCCGTGGCCCCATTCTGCATCAGTTGGAGCCTCCGGGTGCACCCCAAGGGGAGCCCCATGTAGACAGCGTTACAATAGTCCAGACGAGAAGTGACGAGTGCTTGAGTGACCGTGTGTAGGGAGTCCCAATCCATAAAGGGGCACAACTGGCATATAAGGCGAACCTAATAGAAAGCCCACCTGGCCACGGCTGTCATATGCTCTTCTAAAGACAGCCGTGTGTCCAGGAGAACACCGAAGTTGCAGGCCCTTTCCGTGGGGGCCAATGATTCGCCCCCAGTAACCAAAGCCGCAAAGGCACGACACGGTCCAAAGCCCCGGCGGCCGCACTATCCCAGGCAGCCACCAGGTCTTCAGCTGAGTCGTGAGCCAGAGTCTCAGGAAATGGCCCAAGCTCCAACTGGAACCTATCAGGATCCATCAGGTACCCGTAACTGTCTTGTTTTCCATACAGCCAGGAAACAGGATGAAAAACAGAGCAGGTCCCAAAGCTCTGGAAGTAAGAAAGTCCACATTGAAGTCAGTCAGAAGTGTCTTACAAAGGCAGATAGAAAACAGGTGGTGGTGGGGAAACATCTCCATCAAGGGTGCAGTGGCCGCCCCTCCGACTGTAAGTCAATCGAAAGTGGTGAGAGGGGAGAGGGAGGACTTGTCCCGGCAGCAGGGTAAACCACCATTTTGTCCGCCTTTTCAGCCCTTTTCAGCCTTCCCTCTCCACCAAAGGTCTTCAGCAGCCTTTCCATTTGCAGTCTTAGCCTCCAATGATATCAATAAGGAGGACCTCACCCCTAAAATAGGGGTGGAATTAATCTGCAAGAGTTCTTCCGGATAAACCCTGTCGAACTTAAAACCATGATGGAGGGCCCCCCGCCAACATAGAGCTCCTCGCCAACCTCGACACCTGAAACTCTAGTTGACCCACTAGCCAACCGGGGTCTTGCTGGTGCCGTCATCATCGTCATTGACGCAAGATCTCCAAAACAGCCTCATCACCAGAATCTTCGTCCCATAGATGCCCCCTACTTCCTACCAGGCATCCGTGGTCCGTGGTCCAGTGAAGGGCAGCCCCAGCGACAATGCAACCAATGGCACCAGCGCTAGCCACCCTGGTTACAAGCCCACGGGCCGACTGGTCAGAATCAGACCCACCGCCATCCGCTGCTACCGCCATCGTGCGCCGCCATCCATTGCCGCAGACGCCGCCACCCATGGTCGCCCATAGCCGCCGACGCCGTCTCTCACGGGGAGCAGCAAACTCCTATGAGGCTCACATTCCGGGAGCGCTGGTGAGCCCAAAAACCCACCAGCGCATCGGCTTCATGCTCCGCCAGCTGGGCAGGGGGTCGTAGATGGTTCAATATATTCTCCTCATTCTCCTCCATTATTCCACCTATTATTTGGCTGATTTCCAGCATAGCATATTTTGGCTGAGTTTACCGCATATTATCCTCCTTAACTCCCCCTTTTATTTGGCTGATTACCAGCATTTTCCATTGTTTTGGCTGATTTCCAGCATATTTTGTTTTGGCTGATTAACAGCATTCTCCTCCTTAATTCTGTATCCTTTCTAGGTCTGTATCTGGGAAAGGGGGAGAGGTACTCAGCCAAACTGTGCAAATTTCCACCTGGATGAAGGAACCCAAAAGGACAATAGAATTGGCCAGTCCTTTCCCTACCCATTTCCTCAATCTGGATCCTGGTTTAGTTGCCATAAATGCCAGAATCATAGTCATAGTTTTTGGCAATACAAATGAAAGGGCCACTGAGAAGATAATGCCAAAAGTTGTTTGTCGGAAAAGGCAAGTCATCTTTTCAGGTCTTCCCATGAAGAGGAAGGAGCAGAGGAAGCAGAGGAGAAGGGAAAGGAGGAGGATACAAGTGAGGCTCCAGTTGTTGGCTGTGACAATTGGAGTCTCTCGATGTATCCAAAATATTCCAAGCACGAGGACTATAATCAAAGAGAGAACAATAACAAATGTAACAAAGAGGATTCCCAAAGTTTCATTATAAGAGAGATAGCTAAACACTTTGGGAATACATTGATTTTTGATATTCTTGGGTTACTGATTTTCTGGACATTTCATGCAGACATCCATATCAAGAAAAAGAAGAAAAAGATGTTTTTTCAATATAGCATATTTTCTATCATTATAGAATAATTTAAAAACTTTCTATCAGTATAAAATATGTACAGAACAATTGATATTGATATGAATTATCTATTTTGTGAAGAGATGATACCAATTATTTTAATGCCAAAACATACATCAGTCTCACGGCATAAATTTAAACTTGAGATCCTTTGTTATGCACAGACAATGTTGTTCGAAAAACGAAAGCAGATAAAAGGGGTTTCTGTCTGCTATCTGCATTTGTACAATGAGGGATTTACAAATAGGTCCTTAAGTGCCATTCCTGTTTGGATGAGCAATATTTGCAATTTCAGAGACAAATACGTTTGTAGAAATAAATATTATAAATATTTGATAATAAGAGATCAATTTGATGTGGTATTTTAAAGAACAGATAGAATAAGAAATTGGAGAAGCCTATTTTGTCTAAACTACGGAAATCAATCAGAACAACCAAATTAAATGACTTAATGGATCATAAATTATTTTATTAAATTAAACTGTATTTTTACTGGAAAAAACTCTTACTATTATTGCAGATGTGACAAGAGTAATGCTTCACAAAGTTATATTTTTCTGACATCGTATATATTAATTTGTCATTTGTATTTATTTGACCATGGCGTGGAATTTAATATTTTGAAATAGTTACATATTTACAAATTTTTGAACTACATCTCCAATAAATCGAAAGTAATAGCTGAATTGAATATCCCAATAAACATCAATGTTTTCCCAAAGTGTTCACCTATCTTATAATGAATGTTATAATGAACCTTTGGGATTTTTCTTTATTGCATTGTCTACTGTTTTCTCTTTGCTTACAGCCCTTGTGCTTGGATTATTTTGGAGGCATCAAGAGATACTAGGTGTAAAAGCCAATGGAAATAATTTATACAATGGAAATGTATACATATATTTTCTTTTTGCTTAGAGACTTATTTAACCTTCAACAGTGGAAGGATAAGTATATGACCCAGATTACCCAGTCCATTTAAAACTGATGTTGCCTTGGCCTATGAATAAATTCATTTAAAATTCATTTAAGCATTTCTGGCTTAAATGACAATATATCTTTATAAAAAACATTTAGTTTAAAATTTTAATTACATATAGATCAGGTGAATTGGTAGCGGCGGTGGTGGGAGGCTCTGCCCACCCATCGCGCACACACATGAACGAACCGGTTGCAACAGTATTTGGAACCCGCCCCTGATACATACATACATACATACATACATACATACATACATACATACATAAATGCACCAGACTGGATTTTTGCTGTTCAGCTAGCCAAAGTCCTCATATCTTTTTGTCCTACCTATTTCATCAGAAATCTGTCCTTCTGAACAGGGCACACAATCATAGCAACAAAATTTCTCTCCTTCCTTCTTCTTTCTGCAGGAGCCTGGATAGCAGTGGTCATTGCACACAGAAAGGGGAAGCACCTGGACAATAATAGGTATGAGAGAGTCAGCGGTTAAAATACCTCCATTAATACAAATTTCCCAAACAAGAACCCCCATCCAGGCTGAAGAAGCAGAAGAAAATGAAAATGAGAAACTTGGGTGAATAAGAAGGAATTGGCCTTGGCTTCTTTGGATGTTTTAGTAGAAGACTTGGAAGGGCAAAAAATTATGTTTTCATAGAATCTGACATGTGTTTGGATTAGTCCTAATGAATTCATTTGTTTTGTTTTTTTTTAACATGAGCAAATGCAATCCAGATTCTTTTGCAGCCAAAATGTTTTAAGTCAAAATGTTATATTGTACTACAGGTAGGTCCTTACTTACAACCACAATGAGGTGCAGAATTTCAGTCATAAATCGTTGCACTTGGAAGTTAGGACACTACATGAAAAATTCAATTTTGCAATCATTTTTAAAATTTTTGTAAAGTGAATCACATGATTGTTAATTCAATCAAATGCTCATTAAGATAAATCAATTCTGCCAAATGTGTATTATTTGCTAGAAAGTAAGTAAAAACTCTGCAAATCATGGTCATATGATAAAGGGACACTGCAACTATTCATAAATCTGAGCCAGTTACCATGTGCCTGAAATGTGATAATGTGACAACAAGGGAGGCAGCAGTCTCAACTTTGAAGATGGGTCATAAATTGCTTCTTTTTTCAATTCATAGTAAATTTTAAAGATTGTTAAATGACTGACTGTAGGACTATGTGTAGTTTCATTGGCAATTTGAATATCTAAAGCACAATTGGATGCATTTGCTATAAACTTGCCATGGAGTCATTAATGTTCAATTGATATATAAAAAATCTTCTGGCTCATCATCTGAAAATCTTCAAAAGGGGATCTTCCTCAAGATGGTTACTGAATGGTAAGGTAATTTTTCTCTCTAACTGACAATCTGCTGATTTTACTGCCAAGAGCTGGGTTTTTTGGCAATGTTGCTCCCTGGATATAATGGGAGCACATAGGAATAACTCAACAAGTATTTTAAACAATCATGGACCCACCTAGGAAGAGGAATCTTGAAGGTTGCATTTTCCTGTGAGAATGATTGGAAAGTCATCGATTATCCATCTTTCCTTTTGGTAGTTCATTTTCTTAAGCATGCTTAGGTTTCAACTTCACTTTTTAAAGTTTCTGTTTTTCTTTGCTTCTTATTTCTAAAATTTGACTTGTTGAATGCTAATTTATTTTAACCCCTGTTGGACTCTATCTATTTTTTTCTATCCTTCTCTCTCCTTTGATCTATTTTTTGTTTTGTTTTGTTTTGTTTAACAACTTTCATTTTTCTATAAGGAAACTATGGTATGGCATATCCTGAGTAGTGAAAATGCTATCACTTGATTTATATTTTTATTGGACATTCACTACAGGGATTTTCTACTTTATTAATTTTCAAAAAAAAAAAAGTAGGATATTTTCTTAATCTTTCTTTTAATGTTGGATTAAAATATCCAGAAAATAATTCCTTGGTTTTCTGTCTATTTTCTTATTCTGTGGGACATTACTTCAATGTTTCTTGTTTCCTGTTTTTGAAAAATTCTCTTATTTACCCTTACTAAATTACACTGAATAACAATCAGATTACAGACAAGGTCATGTAACTAGCATCTGAAAAAAGACCATTTGATAACATATGATCCCTAGTTCATATGATAGATTTTGATAAAATAATAATGGTTGCAAAAAATGCAAGTAACTGTAGATAATTCAGATTCACAAAAGTATTGTGATCTGAAAGTAGCAGATTCCATTAAAAAAATATGGATTTAAAGACTCACTTGCACATGCCTCCTAAAATTCAAGCCTACAATCTTTTACAACAGTAGAAAAGTGACTGAGTGGATAAGTGATAAATTGGTTTTTTGTAAGAGGTTCGAAGAAGATTGGGAAATGAATTTATCACATTTACCTGGAAAACAATTTCTTTCAGAGATTTTAAGGAAAATAAATCGACTTTGAAGATTGGACTTATATTTAATCAGGAAACAATTGATAAGAGATGGTATTAAGAAACAAACATATCTGATCCAGGACTAATCAGTGTTATCTCTTGGAACAATCAGTAATAGATAAGAAGCCATGATAAATTTTCTACAAGTTGATTACAATAACAGTTTCTTAACAGAGGATTTTGAAACTTTAATCATTATCATTATTATTATTGTTATTATCATCATCATCTATTTTATTCATTAAACATGAAAATCAGTCAACTGAACATTTAAAAATGTATCACAAATATTATTGGCTGGTGCTGATGGTTGATATGGATTGTTGTTATTATTGTTGTTATTGTTATTGTTATTATTATTACTCCAGTTAACTAGTTTGTCATTAATATAGTATTTAGATGGCAGATTAATAATCTGGAAATAGAATTAGTAATTTAAAATTTGGGGGGCCTGTTTTGCAAGGGATGGGAAACTAATATTGTTGTAATATATTAGTCAGCATTCAAAGAGACAGGATAATATATGCATATGTGTTAGCTTTTTATGCATTTTTAAAATGTCTTGTTTGGTGTATATTTTTTCTTTGTTTGTTTCTTTAAAAACATTTTTGGAGTCTTGTATTTTAACTTTCTTTGAATAAAATTTTTAAAAGTTTTTAAAAAAGAAAAGCTCCAAAAGACCAAGAAACTACTTTCTTCAATTACTGCCATGTATTTGATAATTACTTGAAAGAGTACTTTTGTTATTAGTTGAGAATCTATAGCTTCTTCTTATATGGTTAGCGCTTTTGTGCCATACAATTTGATTGTCATTAAGACTTAATTCTTTGCCTGTTGGAGCTCGAGGTTCCAATGCTCCAACCTTGATTCGAGAAAAGGAATTATTGGGAAAAGTAATCCAATTTACAACATCAAAACCCATAATCAGTTCTCTGTTTTCATCAAATGTAATAGTGTGTCTCCCATACTGTTGTTGAATATGATGCTTTGCAAGAAAGAATGAAACTGTATTTTTAAAAAATAAAAGATATTAACAGCAAAACTTTGAAATCACAATCACAAAAAAATATTTCAAACTGAACTATCCTGCTTGAAAAATAAAAATGAGGATTATGAATATCTTCAAATCAGTGTTGACTGTTGTTTGAACAAAACTCTGCAGTGTTTTGGGCAAGATGTCCAGAATTGTTTTACCCTTGCATCCTTTCTAGGACTGAGAGAGAATGACTGGTCTAAGGTCATCAGCTGACCTTAGATAGGCCTAATTACAAAACATGCATTTTTTTGGTTGCATAGAATCTGAATGCACTCCGCAATAGATATTCAGATAGTGCTTTTCAAACACCATGAAAAAGTGGCCAGTCTTCATTGACATAGATGGATCATCTACATTTAATAACCTAACCTGAACTTTAGCACCCAAACTTTAGAAGGCATGGTATTTTTTTTTTTTTAATTTGATTTATATGCCGCCCTTCTCCGGAGACTCAGGGCGGCTTACAGTGCGTTCAGCAATAGCCTTCATACTTTTGTATATTTATACAAAGTCAGCTTATTGCCCCCACAAACTGGGTCCTCATTTAACCTACCTTAGAAAGGATGGAAGGCTGAGTCAACCTTGAGCCTTGGAGAGATTCGAACCAGCAATAAATTGCAGGCAGCTGTGTTAATAACAGGGTGCTTTAAACCACTGTAGTACCAAGGCTCTTGGTATTACCTTTACTGCATTCTAAACCTCCAAATAACAAAAATAAAGCTTAATATATTATTGGTTCTCACTTCAAAAACAATACTTCATAGTTTGGCATGTTTTCTATGGAATCCAAAACAAATTAACATGTAAAACTACAGCTATTAGGGAAAACAATAATGGCCATCTCTGGAAAAAGACAGTAAATTCGGTAGAATGGAAGTCTTCCTTCTAAACAAAAGATAACCTTTTAAATTAATAGTTATTTTGTTACCCAATCAGGAAAGAAATATCCCTGCAATACAACTACTAATGCAAAAGCTTTTATTCTCTGTAAAAGGAAGTATTTTTTTATTTAACAGAATTCATTGTTATAAGAGTGCTATGTAACATCATGACCACTAGCATCACTGCACGATGTAATTAAACAAATAATTTTTGTGTGTTAGAAACAAAATAAAATACCTGCCATGGTTTTAAATTCTGAAATATTACTTGTTCTGTTCCTATTGCATTTCTATGACTGGATCTGGACTTGAGTAATGCATGCAAAGAATGTACCATAAGAAAAGCTGCATTATAAACGTTGTAACTGTGACCACTCATTCTCATTTCAAATAATATACTTGGCAGATTCTCTAAGTTCTCATCTCCAGTGCATAATAGGTTGCTATTTTCATTTAAACTAGAAGAGTGTAATGGGCAGTCAAATGCCTGCTCCCAAAAATTATGAATGAAATTGTCTTCTTTTGCCCAGTATGGCCTTACACTGTGAAGAAATTCGTGGAATCCAGGAGGCTCTTTTGAGCAAATTGCAAATGACAGAAAACCATAGAAACTCTGTATATCCCAAACTCTCTGAATGGACAGTGATTCAAAATTCCAATGGGAAGTAACAATCCACACTTTACCCAAAGATGGCATTGAAGTCCAAGATGCTACAAAGATGATAATTCTCAGATTTTGCATGGCTGGAATTAGGGCGTAGATTAAACACACTTTGACTTTATCATCCGTAAAGAGTTGATCATATATTAACTCAGTTGCAATCAAGTGTATATATTCATCGATATATGCCTTCTGCGGTGTTCTAAGTACAAAAGCATAACCAATGTTGTGTTGGGAAAGCAATGGTTCAATTTTCTGCAAGAACATGTCCCCATAGTCATCATCCGCAGCCAAGATTCCAATCCAATTCCATCCAAAATGCTTAAGTAATCGAATAACCCCAGAGTATTGATGCATTTCATTCAGGACCATCTAGTACAAAGATGGGAACAGATTTTTGTCTTGATTTACTAGAGAAAATGTTCCATAGGCAAGCTG